AGACGACACACGTCGTGTGTGTGTGTGTGTGTGTGTGTGTGTGTGTGTGTGTGTGTGTGTGTGTGTGTGTGTGTGTGTGTGTGTGAGTGATATGTATTGCCCCTTTAAGTACTCTGAACCCACTCTAAGTACATTGCCTTTTTAAGTAGATCAGCAAGTTGAGACAGTAGCTGCTGCCAGCAAGCTCCCTCCACCCTGAGCCCTGTCGTGTGTCAACCCCTCCCTCCCCCGCTCACTCTATGGATATGGGGTAAGCAGGGTGCAGGAGCGGGGGGGACACCCTGACATTAGCACCCCTCTTCCCCCTGACCCCTGCACAGCAAGCAGGAGGCTCCGGGGAGCAGCTCCAAGGCAGAGGGCAGGAGCAGCACACGGCAATGTGGGGAGGGACAGCTGAACTGCCGGCAATTGCTAGCCTGCTGGGCGGCTGCAGCACAGGGAACTTATGGGAACAGGGAGCTGTTGGGGGGCTGCCGGTCCACCCTGGTTCCAAGCCCCCACCAGCTAGCTCCAATGGGCTGCTCTTCCTGCAAGCAGTGGACAAAGCAGGTGGCTGCCAAACGATGTTATCAGAGAGCACTGCGCAACTTTAAACAAGCATGTTCCCTAATTGATCAGCAACCTAACAACAAAAGAACATTAACCGGGACAACTTTAAGTGAGGAATTACTATACTGATTAGAGTTTATACGCATGCATGAAACAGAGAAGTGGGGGGGAGGGGGGGAGAAAAAAAAAGGCCGATAACAGCTATGGAAGACAGCATGGTTCAGAGCCTGGGTTGATCAAGGACACCTACGTTCAATTCCCACCTCTGCCATCTGCTGTGTAACCTTGGGCAAGCCATTTCATCCACCTGTGCCTCAGTTTCCCCTCTCACCCTTTGTCTGTCTTGTCTATTTAAACCAGGGGTTCTCAAACTGGGGGTCGGGACCCCCTCAGGGGGTCACGAGGTTGTTACATGGGGCGTCGCAAGCTGTCAGCCTCCACCCCAAACCCCACTTTACCTCAAGCATTTATAATAGTGTTAATTTATAAGGGGGGGGGGTCACACTCAGAAGCTTGCTCTGTGAAAGGGGTCACCAGTACAAACATTTCAGAACCACAGATTTAAACCGTGAGCTCTTCAGAGCATGGATTGTCTTCCACTATGCCTGTACAGCACCTAGGACAATGGGACCTCGATCCTGGTTGGAAGTTGTAAGTGCTACCATAATACAAGTAATAAAAAAAAATAGTAAGAAATACAACATTGGCGCTTGCCCCACAGTCTCATTAGATTGTAAGCGCCTCAAGGCAGGTGGCTTGCCTTCACAAATGCACCTCAAACGAGGCTGGCTGCTATACCGATTGCATATGAATAAATGAGAATGCTGACAGTGCTGTGCAATGCCACGTGGGATGGGAATTCAAGGGCTCAACTTCCATGCTCCCAGTTTCCCTCCTACAGCCCATTTCCCATCCTCGTCTACATGAGAACAGCACAGAGAGGCACTGAGCAAACACGGGAAGCAATGAGGCTGCATTAAAAGGCCACTGAGGGAGAGGAGAGAGAGCGCGAGTGGTAGGGGGAAGAATAAGGAAATTCCATCCAGATTATCTAGTTATACAGATGTGAAAATGGGAGGGGGTTGAAGACACAGCGTTACCAGAGAACCTGTTCTCTACACTCACCTCAAAATCACGTGCCAAAGATATTAAGTGAGAACCAAGGACCTGGCTTTTAAAGCTTTACCCTCAGGGGCATTTCTGAATCGATTTGACTGGAAGCACAGGGTAGCATCAGTGGTTCTGGCCTCTCTGAGGGCCGTGGGTACTGAGGTGGATTTAAGTGAAAGCTTGGAGTGAACATGCTGTAGGTGGATTCATTAGGGGAAAGACCTGAATTAACTTTCCTGACGCCATGCGGAGAAGCCGCAGTCAGTATTGCCTGCCAGACATTGCCCCACTCCTAGATAATAACCAACAGGCAATATGCTTGCAAGGCTACCCTGAAAATCTGGACCTCCAGATCTCTTTGACGGTGTGCAGGAACCGCCGCGGTTAGTGGCAGGGAAAGCAAGCGGCAATGAGCTCTGAAAGCCTGGGGAGTGTCTAGGCGAGGGCGTCACAATCATGTGTGGAATCCCCTGCTTCATGCCGGTCGTTTTGACACATCTGTATACTGAAATGTGCTCAATTCTGGTCCCTCCTGCTGACTTCAAAGTGACCCCATTGATGATTTTATCACCTCCTCACAGCTCAGGTGAAGTGGAAGCCCCTTTATTTCTGGCTACGGAGTATCACTCCCAGTAGGAAGCAAGCAGACTTGGCTCATAAGATTTCCCAAATTCCTTATCCTCCCTGCATTCACCCCAGGCAAAACTTACTTTTACACAAAAAACACCCAGGGCACAATGCAGTACCATTAGGAGAGGCCATAAACGTTCTTTATGACCAGGGGATTAAGGGGAGAATTTGTGATCCCACAATAAATAAGGCCAGTCGACTGGAGGTCATGAGGCCAGGGAAGGTTCTTGTACGGATTAAGCGATGCCAAATTTAGTTCCGCTGTGTGTAAAGGGAGCCTGCTACCAGCAAGTTAAAGAATACGGTCCCTCCTGAAATCTGCTCTGCAATGATTCACCTGTTTCCATGTTGCCCTAAATAGACCATTACTGAAAGACTGTAGGCTTAGGTGAGATTTGGCCCCAGTTACCATTAGTGCTGGAATAAGGCTAACTCTGACTGTCCTTAAAGTATCAGATGCTGTGCGGGTGAACTCTAGGTTGAGATTGAATGCAGGCAGGACACTGGATGCAGAGATCCAGGCCATGTGCATGAACTCAGACTGTGGCTTTGAGAACAGGATTTTATGTCGGAGCTGCTTTAGTCTGCCTGTCTGGGAGAAAGAAAACAAACCTGCTCTATCATCATCATGATGGTTGCACAGCACAGCGGCCAGAGCACAGGAGAGGGAGTCAGGAACCCTTGAGTTCTAAACCCTACCTGTGCCACAGACTTTCACTGTGGACTTAGGCAAATCACTTGACCTCCACTGACTTAATGTCTTCATTTGTGAAGTGAGGACGTAATTTCCTCTCTCGCCCCACTGGCTGGCAAAGATTCACTTCCCTCCAGAGACAGGAATGACAAACGGCTAGTTTGGAGACTGCACGTGAATGCACAATGAGTGAGAGGAAGGATGATGTAGTAGTTAGGACTTGGGAAACCTTGGGTCCAGTCCATGCTCCGCCACAGACTTCCTGTGTGACCTTGGGCAAATCACTTAGCCACCCAGAGTATGTCTACGCTGCAGTTAAAAACCCTCTGCTGGCCTGTGCCAGTTGACTTAGGCTCGCGGGGCTCAGGCTGTGGGGCTGTTTAACTGCAGTGTAGATGTTCAGGCTCAGGCTTGAATCTGGGCTTTAGGGCCCTGCGAGATGGGAGAGTCGCAGCCGCTACACCGCAATTAAACAGCCCGTTAGCCTAAGCCTCTTAGCCTGAGTCAGCTGGCACGGGCCAGCAGTGGATGTGTAATTGCAGTGTGAACATACCCTCAGGGTACATCTTCACAGCCAAAAAAACCCCCATGGCTCAGGCTGGACCTCCGGACTCTGAAGCCCGGGAAGGGGGATGGGTTTCTAACCGTGAAGCAGAACATCTAAAAGCTATTTTTAGCAGCGTAGTGCGAGTCCCAGAAGCCGGAGTCTGTAGACCTGGGTTCGGAGATTTGCTGCCATGGGGGTTTTTCGCTGTGGAGGTGTGCCTCTGTGCCTTGGTACCCCACCAATAAAATGGAGATAGTAATCCTGCTCTGCCTCCCGGGTGCTGTGCAGATCAACACATTAAAAGACTGTGAGGCGCTCGGATATTATGGTCTGTTGTGATAACTGGGCTTAAAAATTGACCCTAATTGTGAGTTCAACCGTAAAATGTATGTGAAAGTCCGTAAGATGTCACAACGACATCTAACAAGAGACGCTGATGGGAAAAGGCATGAACGGGAGACAGAAGAACTGCACTAGTCCAAACAAAAAGGCCACAAGGGCTGTGTTAAGATCATGCCTGGTAAACAAGGGAAGTGTGAGACTGGAAATCAGTGAACCAAAATTGGTATTTTGGAAACGAGGCCTAACTGGTGGACAAAATGATGAGGGGGGTTGGCTATTTCACCCACCATTCCCTTTGGGGTCCTTGAAGGGGACGACTTTGGGAGAAAAACTGACTACTGGAGGGAGCTTCACCATTATGGCTGCTACCCCACTGTCTCCTGGGACCTGGACCTTCCTTGTCCTAGCCCTGAGAGATGCTCTGACCAGACGGGGCCAGAAAGAAGAACCAAGGTAACGCCACCACCTTTTCTGGCTATAGCTGAATCCCAACCACCATCTGGGATGAAACGGGATCAGACTTTAACAGCAATAGCAGCAGTAACAACAGCTCCAGCTCCTCTCAACTAACTTATTTTTTCCCCCACCGGACAGTTTTTATCATCTTTGATCCCATCTAAGAGAGGGTCAGACAAGGGTTTTTTTTTTCCCTTTTAAAACTCTCTCCAGTTAAAGGCAAACGGAACAAGGGATGTTGTTAAAATGAAAGCCTTCGTGAATACTTTACATTTTAAAGGCTTTAACTCTTTTTCGGTCTTTTCTGTATCTTTAAGAAGAGGTTAAAAGGATTTGTAACAATGTGTTTGCCATGGTGCTAAGGAGGCTAAAGTCTCTGTATAGCGAACCCTGAACTTTGTTGAAGGCTATTTAATGTTGGACAGTGACTAAGTTCCGTTAACACCGTAGGACCATTTATTCCATCTACATTAATACAATGGGCTGTATAAGTACCCTAGACAGAACGATGAGATTTGGGGTCAAGGTTTTACTCTGGGCTTCTCCACTCATGAGCAATACAGCCATTCCACACCCACGCCAATGGAACCCATCTACCACTCAGCACCCTGCATTCTGTTCATGCCACAATATTTTACTGAAGAACTATTTCTACAGTGATTTCAAGAATTCAAACACTGACATTGTTTGTAGCCCTCCAAAGACCAGCTCCCTAGTTTCAGAAGTACAGCGGTACAGCCCACGAGGGGAGAGAAAAAACTTTAAATAAAACAGCTTAGAAACCTCTACAACATTATCTAAAATAAAAAAAAATAAAATAAAAATTAATGCAATAGCGTTATTTGCACACGATAATGCTGTGTTTTCAGGTGTGATATCCCTGCTGTCTACCAGAATGGAGTATATCATATTGAACAGGGAGATTATTCACAATTCCCCTTCTTTTTTTGCTCTGATGCTTCATGGGATATTGGATCTTAAACTAGCTACTAGTCCAGGAATGAGTTTTGCCCGTCCGGCAACCTTAAACGGCACATATTTGGGAGAGAGGCTGAGAAAGAAATGTTCTGTGGGAGGGAGATGGCAGCGATCTGAGAACTGCTCAGAAGTTTAAAACTTTAGAATGTGTCTTTGGGGAGATGAAGTAAGGGCAGAGTGTAGGTGGGATTCAAGGAGCAAGATAAATGCAGTTAGTCACCTGGCTATCACCACTACTTACACTCCGTGGTATAAATATTGTAATTAACTGGCGTGTGCTCACAATTACATGTATGTTTGACAGAGCTAAAATTCGGTCGGGACGCGGGACAAATACCTAAATATCGGGACAGTCACGATTTTATCAGGACATCTGGTCACCCTAGTTTGCAAGCCACTGCCCTCTGCTGGATGGAATCAGAACTACACACCCGTGCACCAAAGGACTTGTATTGTTATCGGCTAACAGAGATGCTCCTTCAGCTTACATTTTAAGCACATGTGTTTTCAAAGCAGGAGGATCTGAGTTCTGTCCCTATCCTCACCACAAAGTTGTGTGCAGCCCAAGCATGCAGCATGGTGATAACTGTGAAGTACCTTGGAGCCCATGAATTTGTACCCTCCCAAGCTATGGTCTCTCTGAAAAATGCCAGCGTTCGAAGGGTTAATTTCAGCTATGGCGAAAGCCACCTCATTTTTTCATGGTCCTGCTGAAAACCGCACCTGCCCAAGAGCCCTCTTGGGAGGTGCAGGTGCCGTATCTGCTGGAGATGGTGCTGGCAGGGCTGGCCTGGGCACACTCAGTGGATGCCAGCGCCAAGTATTCTAACTGCCTGAAATGCACAGGAAAGGATTAACCCGCAGCCATAACTTACTTGGATCCATCTCCACCAGGACCTTCCATTCCTCCATCTTGTGGAGGTCGATGCTATAGAGGTCATTGAGGGTGAACTGGCGGTCCCCCACTTCGAACATCCCCCCGTAGACATAGAGAACCCCATGCTTCACTGCCAGCATAGCATTTGAACGTGGGCACGGCTCCACCTGCTCGCCGGAGGCTTCATCACCGGCCTCTTCTTCGTCTTCGGATTCGGACCTCTCCGGCTCCACTTCAGGGGCAGAGACCACCTGCTTGATCGTCATGACAGTCCCATCCTCTGCCACCACCTCTTTGACCATCTCCACGGGGCCCTGAGGGGGCTGGCCCTCTGCCTCTCCATCCCCGGCGCCCTCTGCCTCAGCCTTTTTGCCTCGCCTACGTTTCTTCTTCTCAGATTTAGGTCCCTATTGATAGGAAGCACATTAGAAAAGCTGTCAGAGAATACGGTATGCAACTGTGAATCTGAGCAACACTTACGTACAGCATAACACGCCATACAGTGGTGAACACAATGCACTTAAATGCAATTTGGGGATTCAATTAAGGTTTATTGGTGCCATAATTCTCAGAAGATGGGCACATGCTCCAACCAAACAGTGACTGCTCTACTAGCTGTGACGTGAAGAACAGGAAAGGCTGTGGTGTGCAATTGTTGCTTCTATTAATACAAAAGTGTGTGCTGGGGCAGGAGAAACACAGCACACTCTCACTCGCACATACACACAGAGATCTCACTAGTTTGTGGTTGGCGCAAAATACAATGACCCACCATTCTGAGAAATCAAAACACTGTGACCGAGTGCTAAATGACAGCATCTTAGCAGGAAGAACTCCAGGTCTTTCAGGGTGCTGTACCAAAGGGCTGGGAAACAGTTTGCCAGGAAATCAGAAGCAAACTTGCTCCTGGAGCTTTGCCTGTTGTTATGTGACTGGTTTTCCCTCTTTCAGAACAGACTAAGAAGCACTGGGGTCAGGAGGAAGGAAGTTGAGTCAGGTCATCTGCATCTGGTTTACTCCTTGAAAACAGTTGGAGTAATGCCAAAAATCTGGGGCGACATGTCTGAAGGTTTAACATTCTATCTCCCCCTTCATCAGTCAGCTAAAGGGTATGTTTTCACTGCAAAAAGAGGCATGTTTTTATATCAGGTTATCTATCTCGCGGTAAAATCCACCATTGTGGTTTTACCTCAATGTAACTAGTCCAGCTCAACCGTATATCCTTATGTCCTGGAGTTCACCTTGACTAGCTACACTGAAATAAAAGCCCCAGTGCTTCGTTTCCACAAGGATTCTATAACGAGATAGCTCCCGCAGTGTATCAAATTACGCAAAAAGTTGTGACTTGTAGCTACACTCTGAACAGAATTAGATTTAAAACCATAACGAAGTCATAAATCAGAGAAGCTTCAGATTCCATGGGCTAAGATAAACAGGGAGGAGTTATTGTATATATTTTTCCAATACCTTTAGTTGTCCAGGAAACCAGCGGTTCTTTCCCATATCATAGAAATAAATATCACTGAAGAAGTCTCCTTCAATGCGCTCTTCCTCTTCTTCGTCATGCACACCTCCGAAGAGAAGGGATCGGTTATTGGGGCCTATTGCCACAGAGAAGCCAGACCTGGGAGTTGGTTTCACACCTGACGGGCTAAGCCGATTCCATACCCACTTATCTGGTAATGGAAAAAAGAGAAGGAAACAAAGAAAGTCAATTCACACAGGGGGTGGCTGAAAATTCCAGCTGCTTCAAAACTTCAAAGGCCCTTCAATTCTATAGCAATATCAGCAAGAAACTCACTGACCCATTTTGGTTTCCTTAGCTATTTCACAGTATCTTCAACAATTTCTTTAAATAATGTTAATCATAACGATTTGCATTTGCCAGTTTAATCACCCAGCTAATCCATGTGTTCCATTTTCCATTCTTTGCCCTCAGAAAGCAATTGTGTATGCAAATAAAAATTGTACATCTGCTCTTTAATACAAAAAGCCATCTTCGAGATATGCTTTTCAGAGTGGGGTGGGAGGAAGCACATGTGTGTTTAAGGAAGTGAGGAGCTCATATTTCTGTTCATAGCACAGGTAATACACTGGCAAGGTCGGACTTAATTCCTCTGTTTATTTGCAGCCTAGAATGCCATAAGCGGCTGCAATGCAAACTTTACCCACAGAGTGCATTGCAAATAGAGTATTGGCCCTGGAATACAAAAAAAGCTGTCTCTAGGAATGACTGGGAAGCATGCCGCATTCTGGTACCTTTCCCCGGCCTCTTCTACCAGCAGGCATGGTCTATGTTGCCTTTTAAGTGCTCTAGTCTTCCAGGAAAGAATACCAGGCTCACTCAACAGAGACTTCAGGTCACACTTAAAAGCAGTACCCCAGGGTGGAAAATAGCCTGCGTTCCAAGCCCTCCTCCTCCAAACCTTTCTAACCCAAATTTTTAGCAGCTCCATTCCAGTTCTGAAATGCAAGACACAAATATGTTGTAACCTACATAGGACTGAGTGGGCATTGGTAGCCATGCAAACCAGAATCCAGCAGTGGGTCACTGAAGAGTAGCGTGCCTAATCTGTGTGTTTGGGGGGAGAACAGGGTTCATACTGGGACCGGCAAGGTGACAATTGCTGAAAGGTGCACGGATGAAGAATTAAGTCTTGACAACCCTATCCAGCTTACTCGTTTGGTTATATAAACAGTGGCTAGTGGATATTAAACAGGAAAGATCATAGTAGGTAGAGATGGGAAACACCTACTAGATACATGAGTCATTCACTCTGTATGCACAGGACACAGATCCTGTATTGACAAGAAAGCAAGCGAGGGCCAGGTTTTCAGAGCTGTACCGATTCTGCTCTGGGGAACGGACATTCCAAAATTTTGTTTTGAGAAAAAAAAATCCAAACATTTTGTTCTGACCTTAACGAAACTTCTCCGAGGCTCCGAGCTGCCCCGAATCCTAGCAGCCTGTGAGGTGGGGAGCCTGGGAGCACATGCACGCCAGTTCTAACTTGTAACACAGCCCTTTCCTTCCCCTCAGCTGCTCTGGGCCTAGGCCTCGCTATGGGCAGAGAATGCCAACTGGGAAAAACCGCACGGGGGTTTTACTGTGCACACACATGAAGACTCAGAGGAGCAAACACCAAACCCAACAGCATGAGGACAAGAGCTAGCATTTACACTTTGGTCTCCACGGCTTGAAAGTGTGGCCTAACCAGAGGCAGGCTTGAACCAGAGCAATGGACCTCTCTATCCCATTGTGATAGAGGCTGGATCCAGAGCCAGATCTGGAAGCAAACATTGCTACCTGGGGCTGAGTCAGAACCAAATCTGGACATCACAGAACACTGGAGAACTTCGGATTCAGTCCTAAACCCAGATCTGAGCCAGCTCTCGAACTCAGCCCTAGTCCTAACCCACTAGGCCTGTTAGCTCGCTCTCCCTACATACACGTCATGGCTAGTACTAATCACAGCTCCAAAACCTATACCAGCAATTGGCTTGGGCTGCGCGCAGAGGCACTGCAGCAAGGAGTAGCAATGACACACCCTATTGCATTCCCCTTCCACAGCTGCACTAGCATCATTCGACCCTTTCTCTGCTCCAATTGCTTTGCTATTTCACTTACTAAGTTACTCTGTTTCTGTCCTGTCCGTCAACAAGGTGCTTTAAAGGAGCAAATCCTGTACTGCTCCTATGATCCTGTAAGTCTCTGAACATCAGCGACCCAGTATGATTCCACTGCTGGGAGAGGGGCAGCATTGGAGGAAACTGCACAAAAATCACGCACCCTCTCTGTGCCAGAGATCCCATCCCTGCAAGGACTGCCATGCCCTTGGCATGTGGGTAGCAGGCACAGGGGAGGGCAGGCATGCCATAGGATCAATCTTTTACGGAGAGGGGATACAGCAATTGTGAAATCTACTGCAGCTTTGGGGCCACAGAAACAGATGCTGAATAGCCATGGGTGCCTAAGAATTCCTTCTCCATTGTCCTCTACAAAGCTGCCTGCATGCCTGGGTGGGGGAACGGTTTGTCCCTAAACGCCCCACATGTCACCCAATTCATCTCATCTTCCCATTCAACTTGTATTTTCCTTTTTTAAAGCAAGAATCCTGGTACAAATCCTCTAACTGCTCCTGGAAAGAAGAGACATTCAAATCAACTTGTCCTGGGGAAGCGGTCCATCCGGTCCGCTTAGCATCGAGGCAGATCCAGCGACGTGGTGGTTTTCATAATTGGTGAAATTTGTTCTGGGTAGTTTTCTTTTTTTTTTTTATTTCATCATCATTGAGAGGGAAAGAAGACTGGCATATCAAAGTGGCTCAGCATCAACCACAACCCGGCCCTGTTCCCTCTTACAGTCGCTGAGTGGCAATTCACCTTCCTCCTTGCCCACGCCTTCAGCCTTCAGCAGGAACATGTCGGTGTGCAGAGTGCCTTTGTCAACATCTTTCTTAATTCTCTGCAAAGAAGAGAAGGATAAAACACAAAATGAAACACATTGCAATGGCCCAACACACCTGATTCTCCACGGCCTTGCACCTGGCAGTCATCTGCACCAGACTAGTAGAACTTTACACCCAGTTTGCAGAGCTGCAATTGACAACACAAGGGGCAAGGCAGTAGCCAATCAGGCCCAGTATCTGTGCACCCCAGCCTTTAACAAAGTTGCTCAATGACTTCCTTCCCAGGGAGGCAGTTGCCATGCAAGACGGAGACGACGAGAAGGAAGTAGCTCTAAGTGGTAGTGACAAATTTTATAAAGAGAGAAAGAAGGGCATTACTGTGGCATCAAGAAACCCAAGATCTATTCCTGATATTCCACCGACTTCCTGAGAGACCCTCGGGCAAGTTACAAGCTCCGTGCCTCAGTTTCCCCACCTGTGAAATTGGGACGATGACACCTACTGCACAGGGGTGTCATGACTCTAAATTCACTAGCGTTTGTAAGGTACTTTGGGATCCTGAATCAGAAGGCACAGCAGAAGCTGAAAGTATTATGATTCAAGTTCCCCTGAACTTCCGTTATTGCTCTCCCAGGTCATGCTTAACTACAGTTGCCACAATTCCCACACGATCCCTCAGGTCCCCTACATGGCCACGGCCAGTTATAACAGGAACTGAGGTGAGGACAGCCTTCTGCACCTTGACTACGTCTGTCACTGTAAGCGTTTGGCATCAGCTTTCTCTGCTAAACAGACTAAAACAAGGGGCCCAATCCCGGTCTTCCTGAAGGCAGCAGCAAACCTCCCACCGACTACAGTGGGAGCAGGACCATGCCTCAGCAGATGTAATCAGATGCATGGTTTTAAATGCCATTCCTCTCTCCCACTTTTGTTTCTTATCCTATGAATTCCTGTACTTCGGTACTCATAGCAACATGTGTTATTTGAAGGTAGCAGTATGCAATGCCACCGTGGGAGGTCTCTTAATAATGTCATTAGCCACCCATCCTTCAGTTGGAGCTCCCACTTCTCGTCCCCCCAGGAGTGGTGGCATTCAACATTCTGCGCGTAACAGATTCATTCTGAAAACAGGATCCAGGAAGCGCAATGGGAAGTGGGACCAAGCCAGGATGGTCTGGTGCAAAATTCAGGAGTGTTCAGATCCCGGATGTTGACTCAGGCCCATCTCAGAGAACACAACACAACTCCATCTCGTACAGCATCTTGTATACAAAACATACCCAGATTCAGAGAGTCCAGGGCCAGGAGGGACCATTGTGATCATACTCTGACTTTGTGTATAACACAGGAAAGAGAACTTCCCCCAAATAACTCCTACAGCAGATCTTTTAGAAAAACATCCAGTCTTGATTTAAAATTGCCAGCGATGGAGAATCCACCACGGCCCTTAGTAAATTGTTCTAATGGTTAATTACCCTCACTGTTAAAAACTACACCTTATTTCCAGTCTGAATTGGTCTAGCTTCAATTTCCAGCCATTGGATTGTGCTACCCCTTTCTCTGCTAGACTGAAAAGCCCAGTATCAAATATTTGTTCCTCACACAGGTACGTACATGAGTTCAATGAGACAGTTACAACAATAATAATACATTCATAATACACCTCTACCTTGATATAACACTGTCCTCGGGAGCCAAAAAATCTTACCGTGTTATGGGTGAAACCGTGTTATATTGAACTTGCTTTGATCTGCCCAAGTGCGCAGTCCCACCCCCCCGGAGCGCTGCTTTACCGCGTTATAGCCGAATTTGTGTTCTATGGGGTTGCGTTATATCGGGGTAGAGGTGTAGTATATTATAGTATGATTATTGTTACAGGGTCAAATGTTAAACTATTGGGAGAGAGGAAAGAGAAAGGCAGAGACAGAAGAAAGGGAGGCAGGACACGTTTCCAGCTGAGGTTTGAAATGGGACATGGAGTGCACAGGGAGGCTGCAAGGATCTGTGGAGAGATTCAGGGCAGCTGGTGGGAGCAGTGGGATGAGCTCTGGCAGGTTGGTTGAAGGAAGATGGAGGAAGGTTTTCAAAAACCAAAGGGCCAAATTCTGCCCTCAGGTCTGTCCACACCAGCTCCCGCTGAATTCAGTAGGAGCCTCACACGTACCCGTAGGCGGAATGTGACTCTAAGAGGCTGATGCGAATCCCACCGAAATGAATGAAAGTCTTTCCGTTGACATCAATGGGCTCTAGACCAAGAGGACAGCTTGAATTGCGATATCTTAGCCCAATGCATCTCTGTTCTTCCCTGAAGTATTAGGGAAAAACACCCTGCATGTGGGTAAGAGAATCATTGTTTTAGCTCCCGTCCTGAGAATTCTCACCGCTGTTGGGACCCTGGGATTTCGCCACCTCTCCCACTTTTGTTGGAAATGGCATCCCACCCCACCAAAGAGGCCCAGAGGAGTCCCTGGCCTGCAGAAAAGTGCTAACAGCCTTTGATCACTATTCGGCTCCCATTGACTCCAATGGAAACAGCACTGGTGCCCTGATTTCTACACGGGGTCTGTATCTTTTAAACTATGGGTGAGTATTAGTGTCCCTAAGGGTGAAAGGAAAGATAGCGATGCGCACTGCAATCCGGCTTTGTTACACATATGTTACAGAGTCTCACAGCAGTTGCCGACTGAACCTCCCACAGCTTCCCACGCCCCAGCGGCCAGGGGAGGCACTCCCTTCCAACAGCGAGGGGCAGATCAGTCTCCAGCCCCAACCTCGCCCCTGGCCTCTTCAGAGCCGGCAATGTCAATTTACACGTGGGCTGAGATTTTCAAAGCACTCAGCATAAGGCCAACTCTGTGGTGAGAGTTTCACCACTGACATCAATGGGAGCAGAGTTAGTGATTTGAAAAATCCCACCCAGGGTGGTTATGGGGCATGAGCTCCTGTCCACAAACTCATGCAGCTCCTCAAGACACACTTGAACCTTGGTTCCAGATGCTGAACAGCAAGTGTTTTGTCTGCTACTACATCCCCTGCTCCCATATAACTGCGTGTGAATGAAGAAATTGGTTGCTCCTAGGTGTTCCTGTCCAAAAAATGCATTATGCTCTGGATTCAGCAGGCCTTAGTGTCCCCTACCTTGAATTTCAGCACAACAGTAGAAGTCTCCCAAGAAATACAGGTGTACATTTGACATCCAAACCTCTTGCCTACCACATGCACTGGTGCTTGGACAGCACGCCAGGAATTGTATCATTTGCCAGAAGTGCCGCATTTTGTTGGTGCACTGAATGGAAACACTACACTGGAAGTATTCTCCTCTTCTGGGGTGGTGCCCGGTTGCCTGCAGTGCTCTATATATAACAAGCCTCCAGACCCAAATACAGTAGCCATTATTCCTGCTGCAGAACTTGAGCTGAGCGAGGTAGGAGCTTTGGGAAGCTGGGGGCAGAAACTCTGTAAGACATCAATGACATTTGTGTCTTGGGAGAAAGAGGGAAACAGCAGGAGCTCTTTATGTCCACATCGGCTGTTACTAAGAGAACCAAAAAAAAAAAAAAAAAAAAAAAAAAAAAAAAAAAAGCCACACAGCAAATTTCTGACTTGATGTATATTTCTTGGGTGTAATTAGGGGAGCTCGGT